CCCCAAAACCCCAAAACCCCAAAACCCCATCATTCAAATTTTAATATACTTATAACTTAAATGGAATTAAATATATTTTTATCAGATTACTTAGATTTAATTATAAGACAAATTAATGGAAAGATATCATAGAGAATTAACAGATGAAAATCCTGAATATTAATTGATCTTGCAGGATTCAATTGAATCAGATCCCAATGATTTCAATTAGACATAAACATAAGTATGGAGAAATGAACTTAAAGTAGGTGATATCGTTGATGTCAATTTAGAGTTACCAAAATCTTAAGGGGATTTAGTTTGGGTCTAAGCAAAGATTATGTAAATATAATTTGAAGTCTATCTTAAACTAGACTTTATTTTTGATAAATGGTAGCAAAAACAAACTATTAACAAGTGGTCTGTCAAAATTTAGTAGTTCGGAATACACACACAAGATTCATATAAATAAAGAGATAACTTAAAAACAATGATGTTTATTGACTCTTATAAATTCAATAATTGGAATAGAGCAATCATTTTGGATATAAAAGAAATGAAATTATAAAAACATGACTATTGCATTAAAATGGCTTTTATTGGGTGGAGAATATACTGTGAGTTAGAAGGGAATAATGAAGATGAAATTGGATCATTCATTGGTTGGTCAAAATCATTTGATGATTGGGTTCCGCTTTATTCCTAAAGCATAAGACCATTCCTCACATAATTATAGCATCTATTTTCAGAAATAAAATCGACTATAGATATAAGCAAAAACGAAATCACTAACTAAGAATATCAAAGAATATGAAAATGAGCAAATATTGCCTATTTTAGAAAATTCAAATATTTTATTGGAATCACAGAAAAAAGTAGTTATAATAGGATGTTTAAAAATAGTCTATGATCTACTTAATTTTAAATAAAATTTAAGATTTTCCAATTTATCTTTAATAATATATATTGTTTTTATTGGCTTTAAATCACCCTCATGGGGTTTTGGGGTTTTGGGGTTTTGGGG